TTTTATCCGGGATTGAAGCTTTTTGGGAGATTTCTGATAGATAGTTCAATGGAGCTTCGAGGAGGTAAGATTTTTGGAACCAAAACTCATTTATATGGTGTTATTTCACTTATTTGGCAAGGAATTTATGGAAAATGATGGTTAAAATTGAGGGTTTAAGGTTTGAAATTGGAGACTTCGATTTAGGAATTTGAGGGGTTGTTTGTGGTCCGATTTTGATGTATTTGGTATGTATAAACTCGTGAAAGTGTAAGGATTCTAGTTTTGCAAATTTTATCCGATTCCGAAACGTGGGCCCGGGGGACTTTTTGGGTGATTTTCTTAATTTCATGTGTTAGCTTCGAACTAAATAGTTAAATTAGTTACTTGAAGTTATATTTACATTATGCAATTACCTTGAATAGATTTGGGCCATTTGGAGTCGGGTACTCGTGGCAAGAACGTGATTTCGAGTTGATTGAGCTTGTTCGAGGTAAGTGGTTTGCCTAACCTTGTGTGGGGGAACTCCTATTAGAATTTGGTATTTTGTTATATGAGTGTCGTGTACGTGAGGTGACCAGTGCGTACACGTGCTAATAGTTGAAAATCCCATTTTCATTAAGCTAATACTATATTTTCTTGTAATTTAGCAAATGCTTGTACTTGAAGCCTCTTGTTTAGATTAGGAAAAGCAGGCCTACGTGGCTTAATTGCCTTACCTGCCTTAATTGCCTACTTGTACTCTGTGCAGTATATTAGGGTAGAAATTCCTGTCTAATTCTTGAATAGAACTGTATACTTTCTGAGATGGTTGTGTGTTTACTTTGGGACTGTGGGACGATATTTTGGGAGATTCCTCTGCTTGTTTACTTTGGGACTATGGATTGGTATTCCGGTAGATCCCCCTGCACATTTATGATTGGGACTACGGGACATCACCCGATAGATTCCCCGTACAGGATATTTACTTTAAGACTACGGATTGATATTCCGTGAGTTTCCCTTGCACATTTATGATTTAGACTATGGGACGATATCCCTGGAGACCCTCTATACATTTACGTTTGGGACTACGAGACGATATTTCGGGAGATCCCCTATTATTATTTTTGTGTACTGTGTTATATTCTTTTCTGTGATTTTATTCGTTATAGCATGTTAACATTTTAATTATATTGTCGTATTCTATACTGTTTTACCTTGTTGTTCATTTATAATCAGTATGGCGTTGACCTTCCTCGTCACTATTCGACCGAGGTTAGGCTTGGCACTTAGTGAGTACCGCTGTGGTGTACTCATGCCCTTCCTGCGCATGTTTTTCGTGTGCAAATCCAGGTTCTTCGGCTCAGCCATACCATCAGTGAGGCGAGGCGATCTTCAGAGACTTCGAGGTATATCTGCCGCGTTCACAGACCGAGGAGTCCCTCTTTATTCTCCCTTATAGCTTTAGCTCTCCTGTAGTTACTTTTGTTTAGACATTCTGGAGTTAGAACACTTGTAGTTATTCAACAGCTTGTGATTTCATGAGATTCCGGATTTTGGGAGTTGTTTCAGTTTGAGAGTTTGTATTGTATATGTCGAGCGACATCTTAAATGTTTTATTTATGTTTATTCCACAATTTTTGGCTAGTTTTATCTTTCATTTCCTTTTTCTGCAAATTGTTAGGCTTACCTAGTTGTAGAGACTAGGTACCATCACGACAGTTCACGGAGGGCGAACTCGGGTTGTGACATGTACTTTCTTCTGTTTCTTCCCGAGGTCGTTTAGACCTTCATTGATCAACTCACATTCCTTTTATATGGATATATATTTTCCAAAAATTCAGCATTATCTGATTCTATAACCGTATTATTATGAATGTCGGGATTTTCTGATTTATGAACCAGAAATCGATATGCTTTACTATTGGTCGCATATCCTATAAAAACACAATCAACGGTTTTCGGTCCTATTTTTACCCTTTTGGGTTTAGAAACTTGAACTTTTACCAAATACCCCCACACTTTAAAATAATTCAAGTTGGGCTTCCTTCCTTTCCATTTTTCATATGGAATGAATTGTGTTTTACTATGAGGTACTCGAATTAGTATCCGTTTAGCCGTAAGAATGGCTTCCCCTCACAAGTTCTATGGCAAACCAGAACTTATCAACAACGCTTTCATCATTTCCTTTAATGAACAATTCTTTCTTTCCGCAATCCCATTGGATTGAGGTGTGTAAGGAGCTGTTGTTTGATGAATAATTCCATATTATAAACAAATCTTTTCAAAAGGAGATTTGTATTCACCACCCCTATCACTTATTATCATTTTAATTTTCTTGTTAAGTTGCGTTTTAACTTTATTTTGTATTGCTTGAATTCATCTATTGCTTTATCTTTAGTATTAGGTAAGTAAACATAGCAATATTGAGTACTATCGTCAATAAAAGATATGAAATACTTCTTTCCACTACGAGATGGTATTGACTTCATGTCGCAAATTTCTGTGTGAATTAACTCTAAAGGATTTGAATTCCTTTCAACTGATTTATATGGATGTTTGACATACTTAGATTCCACACATATTTGACATTTATGTCACATTCAAACTTAGGCAATACTTATAAATTAATCATTTTTTGCAATATTTTATAATTGACATTTCCCAAACGTATATGCCATAAATCATTTGACTTAAGTAAGTAAGAACAAGCTGAAATTTTATTATTGTCAACAACCATTACATTTATGCTTAAAAAGGCACTCAGTAAAGTAATATTTTCCTAAGTACATATCATTCTTACTTATTACAACTTTGTTTGAAACAAAAACACACTTAAACCCGTTCTTGACGAGAAGTGGAATAGAAACTAAGTTCTTCCATATTTCAGGAACATGACAAACTTTGTTTAGAGTCACCACCTTGCCAGAGGTCATCTTTAGGAATATCTTTCTCTAACTTTCAACTTTGGCCGTTGTAGAATTTCCCATAAAAATGGTCTTTTCGGGTCCAGCAGCAGCATATGAAGCAAATGCTTCTTTAACAGCATAAACATGGCAGGTGGCACCATAATCAATCTGCCACTTCTTAGGATTTCCTACTAAGTTGCATTCAGATAACATAGCGCACAAGTCATCAATATCATCATTCGTTTCAACCATATTTGGTTGACCCCTTTTCTTCTCTTTTTTGGAGCATGACATTCTGCAGCTTTGTGTTCAACCTTTCCACAGTTGTGGCAGTTTCCCTTGAATTTCTTCTTGCTGGGATAATTGTTTGGTCCAGAAGACTTCTTCCACTTCTTGGTATTAGTTGGAGCAGTTTTAAAAATATTTGCTCCCATAATTGTTGAATTCCCACGTGTCTTCTTTTCTGCAGCTTTATTGTCCTCTTCGATCCTCAATCAAACAATGAGATCTTCGAGTTTCATCTCCTTGCGCTTGTGTTTCAAGTAATTTTTAAAGTCTCTCCATAAAGGAGGCAACTTCTCAATCATTGCTACAACTTGAAACGCCTCATTGATGACCAAACCTTCAACAAAAAATTCATAATTAGTAACAGAATTGTTACTTTCAACAAAAGCATTAATTCGGATTATACCTTCAGCAAGGAGATCATAAATGATAACTTGCTGCTCTTGAACTTGTGTAATGACATGTTTGCTGTATACCATCTTATAGTCCAAAAAATTGGCTGCAACGAACTTTTTCAAACCGGCATTCTCAATTTTATGCTTCTTTTCCAATGCCTCCCATAGTTCTTTCGAAGTTTTCACATTACTATAGACGTTGTAAAGATCATCCTCCAATCCGCTAAGAATGTAATTCTTGCACAAGAAATCTGAGTGCTTTCAAGCCTCAGTCACAATAAAACGTTCATTATCCGAAGTTGATTCCGGCAGAACTGGAACGTCCTCTTTGATGAACTTCTATAGACTCAGAGTAGTCAAATAGAAGAACATCTTCTGTTGCCAACGTTTGAAATCAATCCCAGAATTTTTTTTCGAATTTTTCGCCGGAGCCGGTGGTGGCACAGAACGACCGGAAGTAACAACATTGCTCGTAGAGCCAACCATGGGGGTTACTATTTCTGTCATTTCTGTTAAAAACAAAACAGAAATAAAATTAATTAATGGTAAAGTATTTAAAATCTTCAAACCGAATAACTTTAACATAAACAGATTAAATACGACGGTTAAGATTTAATTTTTTCAAACCGAATATAGAATTAGTAGAAAATCACAAAGATTTTAATCTCGTAATGTCAACCAAGGAGTAGAAAATTCGAAGATTTTAGTCTCCAAACTGAGAGTAGAAATCACTAGGATTTAGTCTCCCACAAACAGAATATAAGATGAATACAGAAACAAAAATATTAAGTTCCTTAAGCTTGTTAGTAATATGTATTCGAAAATATATTCAAAAATAAAAACGCTATAAAAGCAGAAATGCAGAACAAAATTATTCCGAGCCTACTGAATTCAAAGTGTTTCCTTAAGGAACTAAATCCCCTCTAGTACCCGATAGGGGTGGCAAATGGGTTGTTTAGGCTGAGTTTGGGTTGGTCAATATGGGTTGCACTAATAATTGGGTCAATGCCCCACCCAACCCAACCCAAAGTTTAGTTGGGTCAAGATGGACTGGGTCAAGATGTGCTAAACNTCCCCGGCTCACCCCATGAACTGAAAGCCCACTGCATTGTTTAATTAACTCAAATCATTAAAATTTATTTCCAGTTGGCTTAATAAATCATAGATCTTAACCGGCTAAATTTTGAATTTTGTTATCAAACAATGTGATAAATTTTAATCCCTATGTTTGTCGTTTGAATATAAATTAAAAAATAACAAGAAAATAACAACTTGTACACCAACATGTCAGCTTAGCATTTAAGACCTTAGTATAGTATTATTATCCATGCACATGATATCACCAAATTCTATGTCTATACACTAAGCCGAATCTCCCAGATATCATCGCAGCTCACAAATTACCTCAAATCAAAGCAAAATAAATTTTACTAAAACCAAGAAAAGAAGCTACCGAGAGAAAAAGGAACAGTGGCTCACCAAGAATCAAAAACTTTTTACAAATGAATGAGAGTTCTGGAGATACCATTCATCTCCAAATTCTATAGCAAAATATCAGAAAGTATCGAAACTTATATCTTATTATAGATCAACAATCCATATTTATAAATTCATATTAGCTCGGGTCTCTGCATCCTTGCTCTACATCCACAATTCTAAGTAAAGATTGTAGAGGTAATTTTCTTCTTATCTATTGCAATGTCCTCCTCTTCAGAATCATCACAAGCTAAAAATAAGAAAATTTAGAAAATTGTCAAACTACAAGAAAGTTCATAAAATAAAATACACATGCTACTAATTATAATGTACCTTGATGCCCATAAATCCAATCTCTAGAGCACAACTTAGCTTATGCATTCACCGGTAGAATAGAACTTTGGAATTTGCCAATAACTCGACCACCAACACTAAAGGCCAACTCAGATGCAACTGTGCTGATATGTATACTTAACAGGTCACGAGAGAGTTCAGGACACTTACTCCTATTATCTTTCCAAAATGTAAGCACGTCTAAATTTTCATTTCCTTTGCAAACTAATACATGCTCTTCCAAGTATAAATTCAACTGTGTCTTTTCTAAACTATACTCGGACAGACTTTCAAACATGTCAAATTCATCCATTTCGTCCATTATTTCATCATAACATCCATGACTATTACATCCAACAATTCAAACATCAGATATTGTCATGTATTCTTTAAACAACCTATGCAAATTATCCTCAACAATCTAACTTTTTCATTGCAAGTCAAGGATCAAGTTTTGCTTCTCAAAACTTTATCAAATTTAACTTATATCGAGGATCAAGGGCGATCACCATATAAGTAATTGGACTGTAGTCGTCTTGCCAAAATTTTGTAAATTTCTTCTCTATTTCCATAGCCATCGCCTTAATATTAGGATCCTCGCTACCTATCTCTTCCTTTATTAACATATGAATCTTCCAAACTTAATGAAAATATAAATTGGCGGTAGGATAATGGCTCCCAGAAAATAGTGTAGTAATTTCATAAAAAGACCTTAAAAACTTAGCAATTGTTTCAACTTTAACCCAATCCTCATCTGAAGGGCAACATGTAAAATTTTTGTCAAGTATCTTGAAGTCAGAAAATACTCGACGATAAGGAAAAGCGCTTACAAGCATCAAATATGTATAGTTCCACCTTGTAGACACATCTTGGCGCACTTTTCCCGTCATCTTTAAACCAAGATTCTTGATACACTCAACAAATTTTACAATCCATGACTCAGAACCATTAATATATTTTATATTTCTCTAATGTTAAAAATAGCACCCTCTATTATTTTCAAACCTGCTTTAACAATCAAATTCAAAATATGATTTGCACACCTAATATGGACAAAGTCTCCATTACAAAGCAAAGAATCCATTAGCTTAAAATGCAAATCAAGCAACCCACAACACCATCATTATAAATTGCATTATCTAAAGTTATAGAAAATATTTTCTTTTCAATTCCCCACTATTTCAACAGATTAATCAACTTTGGACCAAAATTAGCACCACTATGAGGAGGAGACATATGACGAAAGATTAAAACTCTCTTTTGTAAAACCCAATCCAAATCAACATAGTGTGCAATAACAAAAATATATTCATTTGATGTAATTGATGACCATAAATCAGATGTCAAACTAATTCTATTTTGAATAGCTTCAAGCTCATTTTTTACCATCTCTTTTGTACCATGATATAAGTTAAGCACATCAACTTTTGCGGTATTTCTTGAAATGGTTTTAACCGCATGATTCAAGAACGCATGCACTTCTCTAATCCCTTCATATTATAACTAAATGGCAAGTTATGTCTAACTATAGCCTTGACTATAACTTCACGATATTCCTTATGCTCAATTGGCGTACCTTGCTTTGATGCTTCAATCTTGTGCTTAGCTAGATGCCGCTTTAAATTTGTTGTTCTAGCTTTTGAGTCAACCAAAAATATTATCCAGCATTTCTTACATTTAGCTCTAAGTCTATTATCTGGATTTGTATCCAATGGCAACTTCTCGTAGAAATCCCAAACAACAGAAGTAGTATTACGTTATCTTTTTGAACTTGAAACACTTATTTCATTGGACTCTACATCATCATGCTCCATCGACATCTTCTTACAAAATGAGATCCTACAGTAGATTAAATACCATAAAATTAGTTATTATTGTTGTATTGGAGAACAATAAGTCCGTTAATATGAAACAGAGGGAAAACAAGAGTTTGCAAGATTTAGAACTTGTAACAGAAGTAGTATTACGTTATCTTTTTGAACTTGAAACACTTATTTCATTGGACTCTACATCATCATGCTCCATCGACATCTTCTTACAAAATGAGATCCTACAGTAGATTAAATACCATAAAATTAGTTATTATTGTTGTATTGGAGAACAATAAGTCCGTTAATATGAAACAGAGGGAAAACAAGAGTTTGCAAGATTTAGAATAAGGGCAGCTCAAAGCCAAGATTAAATCTGTGAACCAAAAATATTATGATTGTGAATTTGTACAATCCTGTTTTCAATCATGTATTCAGAAGCGTTGAAGCAGATCATTTGAGCACTACTTTTCAATGAAATTTGCAATACAAGATTTGAAGTAAATGTGAATGTCATTACTGTAGAGAGTCAAAACCAATATAACTAGATGGTCAAAGCCAATGAAATTTCACTCCTGTTTTGTTATTTAACCGACAATGTCAACAAAGCCAATATAACTACAGAGTTAGAGCCAATATAACCCACAAGTGCACAAACGCACAAACAAGAAACAAAGGCTAAAGCGAATGCTGTTTGATAGGTATTGATTGTTAAGTCATTTCCTTGCAAAACACTCACCTTATCTGATGGCCAAACTTCGAGATCCAGAGAAATCCCCAACAAAGCGTTCGCCGGAGAGAAGGAAGTCGCTAGAGAAAAGGAAGTCGTCGGAGATCGTTTTTGAAGTTCAGAGAGACAGCGTTGTTTTTGAGTGCAAAGAGAGTCGAAGAGAAAGCATCTGTCTTGGGTTTAGGTTTTGGGAGTTTGACGGGTCAATTTGGGCACCTAAACGGGTTACTGTTGGGCTAATTATTTTTACGGGTTGAAATGGGCTCAGACCAAAACGACCCATCAATTAAATTCTTTCATGTCCAACCCATTATTTGCTGGGTTAGTTGGGCTTGGGCTCAAAATGCCACCCCTAATACTCAAGATTGTGAATTATTTTCTCCGAGGATAGAACAGATTACACTCACTAGTGTAGCGGTACTTCAAACCCCAGTGACAATGAACGCAAAGAACAGTGTAAATCCCACACACTGTTTTCTTTTTCTGTTAAAACAATGTAGAAAGAAGAAGGAGAAATCAAAATTTTCGTAAGGAAAATATGAGGGAATGGTCTTCTATTTATAGCCAACAAGTTGGGTTTAAATGAAAAGGTACAACTCTTCAGAAGGTCTGTTATGACTGTTCATGCAAAATGATCATGGCTAATTACGCAAAATAAAAAGGGAATTCAAAATGTGGAGGAAAAATTTTCCCTTACAAAAACGGCTAATTTGGATTAAATAATATTACGTTAATCTTTAATATTAACAAATAAATTTGGTCCAAAAAATCAATCAATCAATCGATCCGAAGCCAAAGCTGAAGCCGAGCCGAGCGAGCGACGACGAGGGCACGAGGAGTGCCTTTCTCAATACTCTAAGAGCTAGAAGAAGTGCAATTGTATATATACCCATCAAAAATCTTTTTCTCCTCTAATATGGGACAATGTCCCTTTGTCAAGGAGGAAAAATCAAAAAAAATAAAAATCCCTTCATTTCCCATTCACCTTCTTTTAAGCTCTAAGAAGCTTAAATCCAACAGAATTACCTATTCCAACCAGAGATATCCCACCATTATATCAGACACCTCTAAGTGATAGTACTTTTTCAGTTCTAACTATGTCCTAAATTTTATCTAAAAAAATAAAGAAATAATTTTTGAAAGAGACATTTACCTATCTATACTACATTATAAATTTATTTACCCTTCTTAGAGAGATTATCACTTAATTACATTAGCATATACAATTTACCATTTATACACGGAATAATGTGTTAAATTCCAATCTTACTCATTTTCTATCCCTTTCTTCCTTCCCCAAATTCAAATAGGATAGTTATTTGCTGCAACATAAAAGTTTCACCAAACAGCTTTCAGTAAAATTCCAACATAATCATTGCTACTATCGGCACTAGTTTCCTCTGCATTTGTATCAGCTACGGTCTTCTTTTTGGACAATCCAAAACCTTGTGCATAATTTTCCCTTTGCATAATAAAATTAAAATTGAAACCTTATCAAATAATAACGCCTCTAAAGTAAGAAAGAGTCTTATACATGAAACCTTGAGTACGTTGAGCTACACGTCTAATTAATAACAGATTCCTAAACTCTTAAACTATTGGTATTAGAAATTCGACTGTACATGACAATTTGTTTGGATTTTGCAAAATTATTTTTTTGTTTGGATTGGACTTTATTGCAAATGATTGAAAATATCCTTTGAGTTTATATCTCAATTTTAAGTAAATTTGGCGAAGATTCGAGGTGGTTTTGGTTGAAATTTCAAATTGAAACTCGAAAAAGAAGACAAAATAAATTGTATATATTTTGTATGTCGAGTGTAGAAACGGTATACAAAATATCTACAACTTACATAATTGTATACAAGTTATATATAAATTATATGTAAATTATAGTTTTGAGCGGATTTTGTACAAAAAAAAAAAACTCTTTGTAGATAAATTGTAGATTTTGGCCGAATTTATATTTTTTGTAAAAAACTTTAGTTGCTTTCTGTAAATATGAAAACTTAAACAAAACCGGATAAATAAGTTTAAGATCTTGTATTTATACGAAAAAGTTCCTTTTTAAAATACAAAGGAAAAATCACTAAAAATTAGATACATTAATCCTCTTACTCTAAATCTCGTTATTCTTTTTGTGAAAGAAGGACATAAAATGGTTGAAATTCTTTTTGACAACCTAAGAATGTGGTGGAATGTATTTTCTACACTTAGGGTGTGTTTGGTATAACGGAAAATGTTTTCTGTGGAAAATATTTTCCAAAAAAATATTTCTTGGAAAATAAGTAGTAATCTTATTCATTTTCTGGTGTTTGATACGCAAATTAAGGAAAATGACTTCTCAAGAGTATTCATAAATAATTTAAATATAATAAACATGAAGCCATAAACTTTCAAACCAACAACCTTTCGAACCCACAAATTTCATAAACTTTCGAACTGCTAAACTTTCAAAACCGCGGAATTTCGAACCCGTAAACTTTATAATTTCTAAACCCGTAAACTTACAAACACATAAACCTCCGAACTCATAATTTTGGAACTTATAAAATTTTGAACCTTTAAAACGATAAGTAAAAAAATTAAAACTGAAAAATATATTTAAAAAATATATTTTTTTGGGGAGGGGGTGGCAGTNCAATTGGAGGAAAATGAGTTCATAAGGAAAATATTTTTCAAAACATTTAAGCCAACCAAACATGAGAAAATTGAAAAATATTTTCCTTCGTACCAAACACACCCTTAGTTGATGTCTTAAGTTTGAACTTATGAATGGAAAAAACCTTTTTAGGCAACGGATTCTACTTTAATGAATCATATGCTACTCCAATATACTCCAAATCCAATTGGATAAACCAATTTTTTTTTTTTTGGTGCTATTTTTAAAAATTTGCAAAAAAACAAAACTGGTCGATCGATTGAAATTAATTGCGTTCGCTAGTCAAAAAGTATATAAAAAATATATTTTTTGTATATAATATATATGTATATTATATAATAAATATACTACTCACTCCGTTTCAAATTAGATGAGGTGCTTTCCTTTTTAGTTTGTTCCAAAATAAATGACACATTTCTAAATTTGAAAGTAATTCAACTTTAAACTCTTCATTTTACTTATTTTACCCTTAATGAGAAGCCTTTATAACCACACAAATGTCATGACTCCATAAAACTTTTATCCCTTAAACTACACGCGGAATCAAATTATATCATCTAAATTTTAACGGAAATATCTCCAAAAATTTGGTGGGATGGAGTGGCCGGTGAATAAAAAGAGAAGGAAGGGTAAAAAGGAAGATAGCGTTTGATAGGATTAGAACCTATATAAAAATTTCCAATTTTGGTATTTGGGGTGTCGTGACAGTGAACTTCTCCATAAATACCTTTGAGGGGCCCCTGAAAAATAAATTACTTATTAGATAGAGTGACAATAAATCTTAAAAAATAAAACATTAAATTAAATAAACAGAAACGGAATAAATGAGCATAAAGGAACAACGTTGCAGAAAAGTAAGCACTTGACCATCTTTACTACAACAGAAAGGCTCCTCTGCTTCCATTCTTGAGTGATCAATCAATCAACTAGTAGTACTCTTTTCCTAGGGAAAAAGAACAGATTGTAGCAAATACAAACATGTCTTTAGGTTATGCTGAGAAACTCTCATTTATAGAAGATGTGGGCAATGTTGGAATGACTGAATATTTCGACCCACCTCACGTTTTGCAAGACAAAGTGAGATATTTTTTTCTGCAACTCTTTATTATTATTTACTTTTAATTGTTTGATCATTTTATCTGGCTGCAATTACCCATAAATATTTGTTTAGGTTTTGGTCCTTAATTAAGAATTGAAGTTTAGAAACTGGGGTCTTCTTTGATGGCTTGATAGTTTGCATTTAGGTTTTTCATGAGATCTTGATTTAATCCCCACATTACTGAGCGGGAGATAATAACAATTTCCTTAATCTTATTAGGGATTGTTACATTTTAAGGGGTGTATAATGATTGCATTGTGTTGGCCACGAGCAAAATGTTAAACATGTTTAGGATTGTACCCTGGGAGTTTATGCATTTAATGTCGCGATTATCGTTCCTTTTGCTACTTTCTGCTATGTTAAGTTCTTAAGGTTTAGCATAAGTTAATTATTGATAAAAAATGGATTAGCATTTGGTAATCAGTTGCTGAGTCTATTGCTAACATTAGGCAGAAAACTTTTGGTAAAACTGACTAAAGTAAGAAAATGATAAGCAGCAATTCAAATTGTATGCTGCATTTCAAATCGTATGCTGCTTACCTCTTCTATAGTATTTGTTGGGAGAAAAAATGGACTATATTGAAAGAAGAGAAGAAGGAATGAAGATATCAAATAATATATAACAATCTAAGAGACTCAGGGGCGGAGCTAGGTTTAGCTAAGAGGGTTCAATTGAATCCCCTTTGTCGGAAATTTATACTTCGACATAGGGAAAGACGACTTTCTATTGTTATATAAACTGTTGAATCCCCTTGATGTAAGAAAATATTCTTGCGTAGAGGTAAAGGGGGTTCGAAAAGTTGCTTTAGGTCATAAGTTTTCATCTCAAACTAGTATAAACATTTGTGAGGAGCTAACAATTGCTAAACTCTTTTGTAATTTATGCATCTTCTTGATGCCAGTAGTGAAACCAATTACTTCATCAAAAAGTTTTAATCTCAAAAGTGGCATTCTAGTATTTTTTTTTTGTATCTGCTTTCTGCTTCCACCACTTCTAAGAGCACCTGGATAGTACACCTAACTTATGGTTGTTCATTAGGAATGGTATTTGGAATTTTGAAGTTCCCACTGCTGTGGAAGATATGCTTTCCAACTTTTCGTTATTGTGATCTAGGCAACAGAAATGAACTTAAATTTTTTGGCAGATGTATAGCAATTGTCCTGAACTGCGTACTATGTCATCGTTACCGTTTCCTATTGTCATGCCGTGGTGTTGCTTTGTCTTTGTTAGAATTCTTGGACATAAATTCATTCTCTTGTTGTTCTAACGTTAAAGTGTAAAATTATTGGTAATAATAAAGGAAAGAATGCAAAGTGGATTTTGATTGCTGAATATTTCGATTCTGGATGCAATTTCCATCCATTATACTGTACTGATTTCTTGAAAATCAGTACTTTCTGGTGCTGGAGGATCTTCTGTTTCTTTCAGCTGCTTGTTAAAGAACAGTTAAAAAGGATGAAGCACTTTATTTTTTTGCGTTCTTACTAATTTTTTAAATAACTATGCAGATTGAGAGACTTGCTGTGATGATACAAAAGGTGAGTCCTTAAAGAGATGCCGTCTTAGCTATGCTATGTATAGCTTTTTCCTTTAGAAGTAACCCGTTCTGACTCTTGTTTCTTTTACAGAGTAAGCATTTAGTTGTGTTTACAGGAGCAGGAATATCCACTTCTTGTGGTATACCTGATTTTCGTGGTCCCAAGGGCATTTGGACTCTTCAGGTAATATCATATATATATGAGTGAACTGCAAACCCCTGTTTCTGAAAGCACAATTATTGACATGTTCCTACCTTTGATACCCATGTTAAAATGTTAAGACTTCAGAATTGAATGCGTCCCCTTCGAATTTGGTCGGTCATCATCTCCGATCCTTCTTTCTACCTGCATTGTCATCTTTTTAGGCTAGATGTAGCAAACCAAGAGGATGTCTTGATCACCTGAAGGTGGCGCAGAACTTGATTTTTGTATATTTGATCTGGAAAAGCTATAAATAAGTGGAGGAGCACCGTGCATAATAGTGACATGAATAAATGAAAGTGGCCTTGAAAGCATGATCTATCTTACGATTGGAGGAGCTGTTTTCTCCTTTGAGAGTTATTTAAATCTACCGGCATGCATGATACCTACCACAACTGAAAGAGAAAATAATATCTCAATAAATGTGGTGTTGTTTGTGTATAGTGTCTAGGTCTGTTATTTCATTCTGATATTGTTTTGACTGGTAATCTTCTTCACTAAGTAGGAAGAAGTTGAAAAAGAGCTACAGTTTATACTTGCATAAGGAAAGAGCACAAGCATTATATTTTTTTAGGGTATAACGGTGGTGTCTAGTTCCGTTTGTGTGCACCTCGACTATTTTATAGGTACCTGCTATCTTCCGCTAGCACAAGTATCAGGTAACTCTGCCCGTCAAGGGTCGAGGCTTAGGAGACGAGAATACATCATCTATCGTTTTTTTGCCTTTGTTGAGATTTAAACCCTGGTTTCCTAGGTTTTCACCCACTTCATTGATAGTTAGGCACGCTCTTGAGTGCACAAGCATTTGTATTATTATTGTTTCTTGAGACATGTAAAGATCACTCCTATTTTTTGGAGTATTTAATAGGCAACATTGCAGTGATGTGATCAGGATCAAACCACTGATTATGATGTGAATATCTGTATATAGCATTGAAAGCATTTAACACGAATTAGTTTCTACAATAATACTGTGCAAAAGAATAACTGGCTATAATGTATCTTCTTATCCCTTTTTTTTTTGACTGACTTGTAGAGAGAAGGGAAAGCGCTACCAGAAGCATCTTTGCCATTTCACCGTGCAACACCGAGCATGACACACATGGCCCTAGTTGAACTAGAGAAAGCGGGTTTTCTAAAGTTTACTATAAGTCAGGTGTGGCATTATTAATTTTCTTACTATATGGGTGCACTTAACATTTGTAGGTTTACACTACAATATGTGCAGTTTCAGTCTTGACTTTGTTCCTTAACATTTGTAGGTTTATTAATTATATCACTTCCACCATTTGTGTAGCTAGTGCTGCTTTCAGAATGAAATCACAATTTCAACCCGATCGCATTCAAGTTTTTCTTTTTTGTGATCAGTCATTTAATTGTTCATTTACATTCCCGGGAGAAATTCCTGTTCTGCCTCTTCCAATTTCCTATGGAGTTCCTCTCCGTTAAAGTGGGAGATAAGCTGCTCTATGCTCACTCTTTTTGCTTGGTGTCTATCCCCAAAGATACCTCTCTTTGCGCCACGTTAACCGATAGCTAGGCTTTCAATTGAAGAAACCCATCAATTTTGACATAGATTGCCTTGAAAGAGTATCATACGATAGCTGTATGAAATAAATAAAACAACCTTTACTATGGTTTTGATACTGTTACTGAGTTTATTTGGCTCTGGTTCCGGTCACTAATTGTAATATGTTACTAGGAAGACAATGCTAATTCAGGTAAGCTACTAAATTTGCATAATTAAAGGCTTTTTGAGCTTACTTTTCTAAATAGATGAACTATGGTCTACCAATATATTAAAGTTGGATGCTGGTGAGATTGAAGACTTGATCATTGAGTTCAATTTAGATCCTTTTACCCATTTTCATAGCACCATTTGACTTTATGCATGGTTAACTCTTCTTTTAGCCAACTTCAACTAATCCATAATGATATAATCATTAACCAGCAACTGAATCAACACCTTCACGGTTGCCGTTCCACCTCTGAAAGCTTTGACTGAGATGACTGTTCTATTTCTTTTACTTTGGGACCCTTTCAAGTGTTTCTAGCCTTATTTTCTTTGGTATCCACTGCTCATGGAGAATTGACAGTGTGGGTTGCCCCTTATTCTCATCTATATTTATTTGTCGATTGGCTCTGGTGATAATCTTTTGGTGTAGATATATCTTTGCTGTCTGGATTCAAACATGCTTTGTGTTTTACTTGCGGTACATCTGGTCATTAGGGATCCTCTGAATTAGCATGCCAATTTTCGTGGTTAGTGCAAAGAAGTGACATTTCAGTGAGTGGAAGATTGAGCATCGATAGGGATGAATGCATCTATCGATTATAGCAGTGTTCCTTGGAAAAAGCATTTATCACCAACTTATAAGAAAGAAGAAGAGAGATCTATTTAACCAAACCAGCCTCTATTTTCCTTAATTTGATGCAATTGGTCAACGACTCAACTAGAATTGAAACAATTTAATTTGATGAAATTAATCAAAGTTACAACATTAATTCTAGAATAAGGTGGAGGGAAGTGAATCTGGACATTTTATTCTGAATGAAATGAAGTTGGCTTATTTGTGATTGTGGGAGTCGTTGCAGAATTTGTTCATTGAAATATATGCTTCATGAGTAGTCTCATTGTTTGCATTTTGTTATCCTTTCAAATTGTAACCTATGTTTTGCACGTTGTGAGAATCACAAATGCTTATATGCTGCACTTTACTCAAAGAAATTGAAAAAAAAAGTGGATCTTGTTTAAACTTCATCACCAGTTACTAATAAAAAAAACCTTCATCATTTAAACTATATTATGATGATAGAGCTCTTTTGCTATACATTTGTGTGCTTTTAGCATACAATTCATACTCTTTATTTTCATGACCTGTGAGAATGAGCCTTTGCGCAACGATGGAGTTGCTCCTTCGGTGACCTGTAGGTCATGGGCTCGAGGAGGGGAAGCAACCTCTTTGCAGGAGTCTTAGGGGAAGGTTGCGTATGATACGTGCCCACTCTCCCCCTATCCACGCAGGCACGCACCCACCATCCAGTTAGCATTTCGTGCACAGAGTAATTTCGTTCTCTGCTCCCAAGATTTGACTGAAATGAGCCTGAATACGGTGGGGGATATAGAGGATTCATATAGCCAACCTTAACTAGTTTGGAATTGGTGAAGTTGATAAATTGATGTCTTCATTTATGTTTTGGGCTGTTCTGAGTGTCTTTACTGTTGGCCAAACGGAAGTAACAGAATGAAGACAACATCTTAATTCCAATTTAATCAAAGTTGTTGGGTATACTTTATGACTAGTGCTGTAGATGCATTCCATTACTCCTTCCAAACTTTTTCCATTTCCCCCTCAGCCCAACAAACTTAGTTCAAACAATCAGAGAGAGAGAGAGAGCCTAGTTATTTGTGTTTAAAATATGACATTTCATTTGATCAAGGGGATGTTTATTCTACTTAAAATCTAAGCCTCAGATTCCATTTATGTAGTTTTCCTTGGTATAATATTCAAGTGTCACATCATACTTATTTGAACATTGTAGAACATTGATGGCCTCCATCTTCGATCTGGAATTCCAAGGGAGAAGCTTGCAGAATTACATGGGGATTCTTTTATGGAACTATGCCCTTCTTGTGGAATTGAGTAAGACTTCATCTTTTTCTGCAGCACACTATCCTGCTTTTTTGGAAACAGTCTCTCTACGAATTCACAAGGTAGGGGTAAGGCTGCATACACACTACCCTCACCAGACCCCACTTGTGGGATCACACTGGATTTGTTGTTGCTGATGTTGTTGTTGTACTATCCTGCTATTATGCATGTTCCCACAGTTCACGTGACTCTTTTGGAGCCTTTTGGTATATTCACACTCATGTATAGCCGTTTTATTTTATGTATGCTGCTCTATTGCTTCTTCGTAGCGATATGGTGATTGCTTATATGAGTCTATTTTATGAATTGACCCATGAAGGTATATGAGGGATTTTGAAATAGAAACTATTGGGTTGAAGGAAACTGCACGACGTTGTTCCAAGGTGGGCTGTGGTGCCAGACTTAGAGACACAGTTCTTGACTGGGAGGTAATGACAAACAGCATTGTGTTTAATGACAATATCCTAGGATCTGAGTTTCTCTTTGTAGTTGTACAGTGACATTCCACTGCCCTTTAATAGTGACCGTAAAGATATTGTCTTCTTTAAGCTAGAAATATGACGATATTAGTCTATTTTCCCAATGAAAATCAATCCCTACCTAACTAAATGTATTGATGACTTTGGTATTTTTCACTGTATCTGAACTTTAACTAGATTACCTCACTACTTCAAAGAAAAAAAAAGAAGTGCCAACATCCCTGTGAAGGATATTAGGCATACTCGATCTTGTGTTGCTGATTCTAAATGCAAGTTCTGTGATAGTATTTTGATGCACATCTAATTTGTAAAAGGGATTAATACGAAATAGAATTTATTATTTTTATGGATTCTCCGTAACTTGCAGTCAACATTGCATAACCAGAAATTTGACGGGTTGTAGCCTCATGAGCATCCGATGATTAAGTCAATAAGTTGTAAAAGTTTTGAGGATTTACTTTTTTCCTGCTATTTGGGCCAAAGCGCCAAGATTGTTATGGCCAAAAGATGATTCCACCTATGACTCTGTTGTTGACCTCATCCTGTCCCCTCTCGTGTTTTTGTCCTCAGGATGCTCTACCTCCAAAGGAGATGAATCCAGCTGAGAGGCACTGCAAAATGGCTGATGTTGTGCTATGTCTAGGAACAAGGTAATGCTAAATTATCTATTTGACTGCCTCCATAATCTGGAATTCTGATGCATGATGCTAAAATAATGATTTCTTACAGTGTTTGTTGACGCTCAACTGTTAAACCATTTACTTCCATCATTCTTCGGCCTTAATCATGTCATGTCAGAAGTGAACATGACTTGTTCTACTCTTGCAGTTTGCAGATCACCCCTGCCTGTAATTTGCCTCTAAAATCACTCAAAGGTGGTGGAAA